GGTTTTCAATGCATTCCTATGGGAAATGCAGATTTGAGAACTTTTTGACTTGAGAACCACCTTCCAATACAGATTAAGTTCTCAAGTCAAGACCCCACTGTATGTAATTCCATTATTGTGTAAAAATTGTTATAAAACCTCATGGCACAATGGTTACCAATATTTGCATAATAAAATAGGTATGGAATAACTGTAGTTGGGAGCCTAACAATAATGAACTGGAAACAACGTTACTAATACTGCAACCTATGGCTTAAATAGTGTTGCAAGTCTCAGCTAGACTCACTGGAACTTAGCATTGATTCACCAAGTCTGTCACTGATTCAACAGGCCTACTCTAGTGACAAGTTGCTACACAGAGCAACGAGATTTCAGCCATAATGTATCTACTCAGAAGCAAACTCCAGGGAGTTAAGTGGGCTCATTTCTAGGAAATAGTATGTACCACTGCAAACAACTACAAATGAAAAATAATAAGAACATTGCATACATCTAAGGAAACAATACTGATTACCCATTTCATGAACCAAAATACAGTGATCCTGATGGTATTTACTCATTAGTTAAGCTCTATGAAGTTCAACAGGACCTTTGTATAATGTACAAGACTTAGCATTCAAAGATTGAATCCATTACATTTTATTGCAACTTCTCCACAGTTTAATTAGAAAATATCCAATGTAACAGGTTAAAGAAAAACTGTTCATTTAAAGTTCACGTTGGTTATTAAAATGTCTCAACCACTGCATTTCATTTGTGACCATAGGCACAGAACACAAGTAGAATTTAGTTTCCTGTAGATCTTATTCTCAACAAGTTGCATCTTCTTATGCATCCTTTTTAAAAGACAAAAAACCCCACCCCTTTTTGTCTTTTCTTCTGTGATTTTCAGAAAATACATGTCCTTGAGGTCAAAGGTAGGCATGAAGGTTTATATTATGAAGTCTGGCACTGGGACTGGACATGATGAACGTCATATATTACTCTGAAAATCTGTTACACTATCAGCATTACAAATCTGCACATCAAGTGCCTGCATCAGATTTTATTTTTTACAGAACAGAGACTTCTCACTATCCCAGTCCCATACATACTCTCCACTATTCTTTGGACTTTCAACCATTTCAAATAACCTGAGGGATTAAAAAATGAACACAACTACCTGAAACTTTGTAAAATTATACGATCCACCAGATCATATACGCTTTTTAACTCAAGGATTTATGCTAATACTGCTGTCCAATTACGCAGTAAAATCTATTACTGCCTTTTGTCAACAACTCCACTTAAGATGGACTAACTCCTACTCCGTTTTTTAATTTAGAGGGCCTATGTTCACATCCCACTTTTCCCAGGCTCTACAAAGTTCACAAAAAATTTAAGGCCACTGTCGAATTTGTAGAAAAATGCACTAAAAAGTCAGAGCCGCATTCTCTTATTAGCACCCCGTCAGTAATTAATCGGGGGCTCGGGATAATTTGTGGGGAGGCATTCAGTTCCCGAAGAGGAAGTGCAACTCGAGGATAAGGGCTCCAGTCCGCCACTTGGGCCAGCCTTCTCCCCAGGCAGGCTCACTTCTTTTTCCTCTTGCCGCCACCGGTTCGGGCCGCCCCTCCGCCCCGTTTGCCTTTGGCCCCACCGGGCCTCAGCTGCTGCCGTCGGGCCCTCTTGCCGCGCTGCCCTCGCTTCTTGCCCTTGGCGCTGGCCGCCTCGGCTTCCTCCTCCCGGAGCTGCTTGTTAACGGCCCGGGTCAGGTCCAGGGGGGCCTTCTTGCTGCTCAGGCTGCGGGCCAGCTCCAGCTGCCTCTTCTTTTCCCCTTCCAGGTCTCCCAAGAGCGGCTTGAACTGGCGCTTCTTCCCGCGCCCAGTGACGGTGGGAGGCGTCGGCGGCTCCTTGGGGAGTCGAGGCTGGAAGCGGCCGCGGGAGGCGGTGGAGACGCGGGCCAGGGCGGCGACGCGGCCC